GGAATAGTTTTGAATGGTCCAAAGATGCGTTGCAGCAAAGTGCTTATTTATTCTTCCCAATCTTTCCTGGACTCTAGTTTCAAATAACAGGAATGTGCTGTTTAGGTCCAGTTGGTTAAAACGTCCAAAGAATAAATACATCCCCTAACGCAACAAAACTGTAGGAGATCTTTATAAAAGCGGTTCAGAGAACTTTTTAAAATGAGTTCCGTAAATCATGTGATTATGCTCTGTAACTATCTCAATATGTTATTGGATGTGAACAAATGACAAAAATCAATCACGATAACTGCCGATGAATAAAATAACTGTAATTATCTTTGAAAAACTTCGAACGATAAATGAAAGTCATTAATCACATGGACTATATAAACCAAGTAGTCTCTCAAATAATGAAACGGCTATTTTCCTTAATTTCACTGCAACTTATTGAGTTTTTCCCCAATAGAGTTACGATCAATAACTCTTTCCATGATTTACGTCTCACTCCATAATAACTGTATTGTATTTCAAATAAAGGACTCAATTAAATCAGACCAGTTCCACATATTAAGTTGTATATATTTAATCTTCCGTTGGGACTGTCTCACTGTCATCTGAACTCCCTACTTTATCAAGCGTGTTTTCAGCGAATGTCTTTGCGGATTCTTCTCCTTCTCTTCGCTATTTCTTGCCTTTCCTATGCAGGACGATGCCGATTTCGTGAAAGCAGAGTTAATGTGGGTTTAATCCCAAATTTTCTGGAACAAGACTTCAATGAAACAGCAATGAACTTTTTCTGTTTAGGAACAGGTAATTCGAATTGGGCGCGGTTGCCGTGGAAGAGTCTCATTGGCAGGGGAAGAATACTGGTCATCTGTCGGCTATGATGGCAGGTTAAGGTAGGCTAGAAGATTCAAAATTAACTCTGGAGAGTGAAAAGGGAAGTTTTCGTGGATTGCAGGGATGGCCGTACCACTAGTGACTTCCTCACACTTCCTCAATCTGGTGGGGGACAAGTTCGAGATGGTTGGGTGGCTTTTTGGTGAGTAGCGCTTACTCCGGTAGAACAAAATGCTTATTGAGGGTCAACTAACTGTTTATGAGTATTTTAGGTGGATTTTTAATGTTTTGCCAACGAAACATAAGAATTTTTGCCAGTTTTAGAGG